GGAAGTGGAGTTGGAGATGAGGATGGGGATGGGATGGAGATGGAGATTGGGATGGAGATGGAGATGGGGATGGAGATGGAGACTGGGAGATGGGGATGGGATGGGATGGGATGGGGATGGGGATGGGATGGGGACAGACGGATGGGGATGGAGATGGGGATGGGATGGGATGGGATAGGGATGGGGACAGATGGATGGGAATGGGGATGAAAACAGAATGGGATGGGAGGGAAATGGGGATGAGGATGGACAGATGGGGATGGAGTTGGAATGGGATGGGGATGGGGTTGGAATGGAGATGGAGATGGGATGGGGATGAGGTGTGGGTGTAGATGGGATGGGGATGGAGATGGGATGGCATGGGGATGGAGATGGGATGGGGATGAGGTGGGGATGGAGATGGGATGGGGATAGGGATGAGGTGGGGATGGAGATGGGATGGGATGGGGATGAGGATGAGGATGGGGATGGATATGGGATGGGATGGGGATGGGAATGGGGATGAGGATGGGGATGGGATGGGATGGAGATGGGATGGGATGGGTGCTGTTCCCCTGGCAAGGGAGGGCAGGGGGTGCAGTGGGGGGGTCCTCACCTCGCTCTCTCGGCTGTACTTGATCTCATACTTGAGGATGAGCCCGTTGGGGTTCCTGGGCTCTTCCCAGCGCAGCAGGACACTGTTCTTACCGGCCGGCTCCCAGGTGACGTTGCCGGGAATGTTGTCAGCTTGCACTGGAGAGGGGCACCGAGGGGGTCAGCTCCCGGGGGCATCACCCACGCTCCCACCCAGGACCTCCCCAGAACATCCCAGCGTGGCCAAGGCAGGGTTTGGGAGGGAGGAGGTCTCTGGGACCTACACTCGGGCATGGTCCTGGCGAAGACGAAGGTGGCGGCGCTGCAGCCCACGGTGTGGGCGGCGTGGTTGCAGGCGTGGATGTCGATGCGGTACTCGGTGAAGTGCCGCAGCCGCGACAGCACCGCCCGGTCCCGCACCACCTTGTCCTCGAAGATCTGGAAGTCGGGTTTGGGGTCCCCTCCGGGACGGCTCGGGGCTGGTGGCTCCACCGAGGAGGCGTTGACCGGGAAGGTGACGGCCACCACGTCCCTGCGCCGCTTGGGGGTCCTGCGGGAGATGGGGACAGGAGGTGGTGGGACACCTGGGTTGTCCCCCAAAATCGAGTTGGGGAGGGTTTGTGTGGTCCCCACTCACCTCTGAGGGTTCTTGTTGATGGATGTCACCTTCCAGGGTGGCCTGAGACAACAGGAAATTGGTTAAAGGGTCTGCCAAGTGTAGGCACCAGCCCCCACATTGTACCCAGCCTGGGGTCCTCCTGACACAGGGGGGGCACCTGGGGATGGCACCTGGGGATGATGATGGAGTTGTGGAGGAAGTTCTCAAACTTCTTCTGGAAGGACTCAGCTTCCCCCTCCATGCGGAGCTGCCCGTCGGCCGGGCGGCAGGGACAGCACCGTTCCTCCGCGTCCTGCTCCACCTCGGGACCATCCCCGTCCCCAAAACGGGTGTCCGCGCTGCTGGTGGGCAGCTTCAGACCTGTGGGCAGAGATGGGGCAGGGCTGGTGGCATCCCCACCCCACTGGTGTCCCCTGGCTTCTGTCCCCAACCCGCCTGCCCTCACCTTTGTGGCAGTAGTCGTTGACGTAGAGCTCCATGTCCTCGGCCAACTGCTGCCACAGCACCAGGTAGTAGGTGATGTTGCCGTTGCGTTGGGTGGGGGGTTTCCAACGCACCACGATGTGGGAGGAGGAGTTGGACATGGAGATGACATCCCGGGGCACCGTTGGGGCTGAGGGAGGACACAAAGGTGTCAATCATAGAATCACCAAATGGTTTGGGTGGGAAGGGACCTTAAAAATCATCGAGTTCCAACCCCTGCCCTGGGCAGGGCCACCTCCCACCACACCAGGTGGCTCCAAGCCCCCTCCAACCTGCCCTTCAACCCCTCCAGGGATGGGGCAGCCACAGCTTCTCGGGGCAACCTGGGCCAGGCTCTCACCACCCTCACACCAAAGAGCTTCTGCCCCACAGCTCAGCTCAATCTCCTCATTTTTGGTTTAAAACTCTTCCCTCTCATCCTATGGCTCCACTCCCCAAACACCATCCCTGGAGGGACCTAAAAGCCAGTGCTGAGGGACACAGCTCAGTGGTGGGTTGGGCAGTGGTGGGTTGATGGTTGGTCTTGATGACCTTAAAGGTCCTCTCCAACCCAGGGAAGTGGTGGAATCACCAGAGCATCACAGAACGTTTGGTGTTGGAAGGGACCTTGAAGACCATCCAGTTCCATCCCTTCTAGAGGAAGGGACATCTTCAATGAGAGCAGGTTGCTCCAAGCCCCCTCCAACCTGCCCTTGAACCCCTCCAGGGATGGGGCAGCCACAGCTTCTCTGGGCAACCTGGGCCAGGCTCTCACCACCTGCAAAGAATTTCCTCCCCACATCTCATCTCAATCTCCCCCCTTTCAGTCTCAAACCCTTCCCCCTCATCCCATCGCTCCCCTCCCTCATCCAGAGTCCCTCCCCAGCTTTCCTGGAGCCCCTTGAGGGACTGGAAGGGGCTCCAAGGTCTCCCCGGAGCCTTCTCTTCTCCAGGCTGAACCCCCCCAACTCTCTCAGCCCCCCCTCCCAGCAGAGGGGCTCCAGCCCTCCCAGCATCTCCGTGACTTCCTCTCCAACAGGTCCATGTCACTCCAGAGCTGGACCCCTTTTTGGGGGACCACGCATCCCCAGCCCCCTCGGCAGCCCCTTACCGGCCGGCATGGTACGGATGTAGACCACCTCGCTCTGCGCCCCGTAGTTGCGTCCTTCCTCGGCGGTGGTGAGGGTGATGGCGCGGACGAAGATGGCGTATTGGGTCCAGGGGCGGAGGTTGAGCAGGGCCACCCCCGGCGCCTGCTCGGTGTTGAGGGGCAGCTCCACGTCCAGCACGTTCCAGCTCTGAGCCCCACAGGCGTCCTGCCCCACGTACTCCGACACGTTCTGGAAGGGTCTGCCCCACACTGGGCATCGGGGAGGGTCCTGGGAGACCCCCCTCCCGGCCACATGGCCCAACGGCCCACCAGGACACCACGGGTTGGGGTTCCCCAAGCCCTCCGAGATGGGGACAAATTGGGGATGGGGACAACTTACGACTCCTTGTAGTAGACGATGAAGCTGAGGAGGTCACGGTACTCGGGGGGCCGGTACCTCTCCCACTTGAGGAAGATGCGGTCGGACTCGGTGACGTTGGAGATGAAGCGCAGGGTCTGGGTCTTGCCTGGGGAGGGGGTGGCAGGGTTCGGGCAGGGGGTTCAGGCCACCACCGGGTGTCCCTTGTCCCCCCTACTCACAGGACGCCCGGTCCCCGTTGGTGCGGGGGTTGATCTCCGCCTTGTTCTGCCGCCCCTTGGTGCCCGTCACCTCCTCCATGCGGTAGATCTCGGCCAGGCACAGCTTGGGGTTGAAGGCGAAGTACATCTTGCCCACGGGGATGGAGAGGACGTGGTGGCTCCAGTCCCAGAGCTGCTGCAGGTTCTGGTTGTCCAGGACGTACAAGGTGTAATTCCTTGGGGGAGGCGACATGGATGGAGACGGTGGGCACAAACACCCCCAAAACCATGTGTGTGTGTCCCCAAACCCACATCCCATCCTCACCCGTCCACCATGGAGTCACCACGGATGAGCTTGAGGTTCTTGAAGAAGGACAAGGAGACGAGGGCAAAGGAGTGCTTGATCTTCAGGAAGCCCGTGATGGTCTCGATGAGCCCCAGGCTGCTCTGCAGCTCCGAGGCCAGATTATCTGGGGACAACCCCTGGGTGTGAGCACGGGGAGGGGGACATCTCCCCATTAACCCACCCCAAGAGGGAGAAGACCCATCTCTTCACCCCCCTGCACCCCGGGGAGGTTTTCGGGGGGTCTGGATCCAGCACTCACATCCCCGGCGGATGTTGATGATGAGGTTGCCCTCCACGAGGGTGCAGCCCCCCAGCTCCTGAGCCGCCCGCGTGGAGTCGATGGTCTTGGTGCCCACCTTGCACTCCTTGGGGCACAGCCCCTCGCACTTGTGGCAGAAGATGCTGCAGGGTGGCGGAGGGGCAGGACATAGAGTCATAGAATGGTCTGAGCCAGAAGGGACCTCCAAAGGTCATCTAGTCTGACCCCTCCGCAGTCAGCAGGGACACCCCCAACTAGACCAGGTTGCCCAGGGCCTCGTTGAGCCTCACCTTGAATATCTCCAGGGATGGGGCCTCCACCACCTCCCTGGGCAACCTGTTCCAGTGCTCCACCACCCTCACAGTGAAGAACTTTCTCCTCATCTCCAACCTAAATCTGTTCCCCTCCAGCTTGAAGCCATTGCCCCTCGTCCTGTCACTGCAGGCCTTTCTAAACAGGCTCTCCCCAGCCTTCCTGTAGCCCCCCCTCAGGTACTGGAAGGCTGCTATTAGGTCTCCCCGGAGCCTCCTCTTCTCCAGGCTGAACAACCCCAGCTCCCTCAGCCTGTCCTTGGAGCAGAGGGGCTCCAACCCCCTGAGCATTTTAGTGACCTGCTCCATCCGGTCCGTGTCCTTCCTATATCGAGGGCCCTAGACCTGCACACAATACTCCAGGTGAGCCTGTTCCAGTGCTCCACCACCCTCCCAGTGAAGAACCCTCTCCTCATCTCCAGTCTAAATCTGTTCCCCTCCAGCTTGAAGCCATTGCCCCTCGTCCTGTCACTGCAGCCCTTTCTAAACAGGTTCTCCCCATCTCTCCTGTAGCCCCCCCTCAGGGTCTGGAAGGCTGCTATTAGGTCTCCCCGGAGCCTCCTCTTCTCCAGGCTGAACAACCCCAGCTCCCTCAGCCTGTCCTCGCCTTTTGGATGACATCCCATCCCTCTGGTGTATCGACACCACCACACAGCTTGGTGTCGTCCGCAAACTTGCTGACGGTGCCTTTAATCCCTCTGTCTATATCATTGATAAAAATGTTAAACAGTATCGGTCCCAGCACAGACCCTTGAGGGACACCACTTGTCCCTGCTCTCCATCTGGACTTTGAGCCATTGAGTAGCACCTTCTGGACACAACCATCTAGCCAATTCCTCATCCACTGACCAGTCCACCCATCAAATCCATATCCCTCCAGTTTGGTGAGCAGGATGTTGTGGAGGACCGTGTCAAAGGCCTCACAGAAGTCCAGATAGATCACATCCATAGGTTGTCCCTTATCTACTGACCTGGCCACTTTATCATAGAGGCCACTAGGTTCGTCACTCTATCATAGAAGGCCACTAGGTTCACCAGGCAGGATCTGCTCCTAGTAAAGCCATGTTGGCTGTCCTCAGTCCTCCATGTCCCCCTGTCCTCCATGTCCCCAAGCATGGCATCCAGAAGGATCAGTTCCATGATCTTCCCAGGCATGGAGGTGATGCTGACAGGTCGGTAGTCCCCAGGGTCCTCCCTTCTACCTGACCATCCAGCCAGTTCCTTATCCACTGACCAGTCCACCCATCAAATCCGTACCCCTCCAGTTTGGTGAGTGGGATGTTGTGGGGGACCGTGTCAAAGGCCTTACAGAAATCCAGACAGATCACATCCATAGGTCGTCCCTTATCTACTGACCTAGTCACTCTATCATAGAAGGCCACTAGGTTCACCAGGCAGGATCTGCTCCTAGTAAAGCCATGTTGGCTGTCCTCAATCACCTCCCTGTCCTCCATGTGCCCAAGCATGGCATCCAGAAGGATCAGCTCCACGATCTTCCCAGGCACAGAGGTGATGTGGCTCCGTCACCCTCACCGTGAAGAAGTTTCACCCTTAGTGTGAAGAAGTTGTGATGTTGGGTGTGATGTTTCCCTTCTTCCATCCCGCGGGGACTTGAAGATACGAAGAGCGGCTGAAGGAGCTGGGACTGTTTAGTGTGAGGAACCCTTGAGGGACACCACTTGTCCCTGCTCTCCATCTGGACTTTGAGCCATTGAGTAGCACCTTCTGGACACAACCATCTAGCCAAGCCGCAGGGACACACTGCGGGGGGAGAGAGACAGACGGGCAGCATTGGGACAGGAGAAGACCCTCCCCACACGCGCTCCAACAGGGTAGGTTTAGATTGAACATTAGGAAGGAATTTTTCACAGAGTGGTCGGGCGTTGGAACAGGCTGCCCAGGGAGGGGGTGGAGTCACCATCCTTGAACATGTTTGAGAGTCTTTTAGATGTGGTGTTGGGGGATATGGTGTAGGGGAGGACTTTGTAGAGTAGGGGAGATGGTTGGACTCGATGATCCCAAGGGTCTCTTCCAATCTGGATGATCCTATGATTCTATGACTCCACCTGACTGCCACGACATGACCTGGGTGGTGCCACCACCAGTAGATGGTTGGACTCGATGATCCCAAGGGTCTCTTCCAACCTAGACGATCCTATGATTCTATGACTTCACCTGACTGCCACAACATGACCTGGGGGGTGCCACCACCGTGCCGGGGGGGTCCCTATGGACATCCCCCCACCCCACCCACACACTTTACCTGCTGTCGTTCCGGGTGTAGCCCGCGGGACACTCGGAGAGGCACTGCCGCTGGTGGATGACGAACTTGGAGGCGGCGTCGCGGGGGTTGTGGGAGACCTTGCGGAGGCTGGCGCAGTACTCGGGGGTGACGCAGCGCCAGCCCTCGTACTCGTAGGTGCCCGGGGGGCAGGAGGGCAGGCAGCGCCCGTTGAAGTGGAAGTGGCGGCAGGACACGCAGGCTCGGCTGTCCCGGGGTCGCCCGCAGCCCCCCAAGCACTCGGGGTGGCAGCACTCCCCCCCCGGTGTGCACGCCGAGCCCGCGCCGCAGGGACACACTGCGGGGGGAGAGAGACAGACGGGCAGCATTGGGACAGGAGAAGACCCTCCCCACACGCACACATGGATGGATGGAGGGATTGATGGAGGGATGCAGGAATGGTGGGATGGAGGGATTGATGGAGGGATGGAGGGAGGGATGGAGGGATTGATGGATGGAGGGATGGAGGGATTGAAGGAGGGAGGGGTGGATGGATGGATGGATGGATGGATGGAGGGATGGAGGGATGGATGGAGGGATGGATGGATTGATGGAGGAATGGATGGAGGGATGGAGGAATGGATGGAGGGATGGATGGATGGAGGGATGGATGGAGGGATGGATGGAGGGATGGATGGAGGGATGGAGGGATGGATGGATGGAGGGATGGATGGAGGGATTGATAGAGGGATGGATGGAGGGATGGAGGGAAAGACAGAGGAATGGATGGAGGGATGGATGGAGGGATGGATGGACAGATGGAGGGATGGAGGGATGGATGGACAGATGGATGATGGAGGGATGGATGGATGGATGGATGGATGGATGGATGGATGGATGGAGATGGGGCAGGGGAAGGAGCAGCGGGGAGGGGGGGAGGGATGGAGGGATGGGGCACAGATCGCCCGGCCCTGGGGGCAGCACGGCCGGAGAGGAGGTCCCAGGTTTGCATGGGGGGAGAGGGAAGAGGTGGGAAGGGTTTGGGGGGAGCTGCTGACACCATCTGGCTCTGGAGGGTTGAGGGGGGAGAGGAGGGATGGATAAAGGGATGGAGGGATGGAGGGATGGATGGAGGGATGGAAGGATGGAAGGAGGGTTGGAGGGATGGAGGGAGGGATGGAAGGGATGGGGGGATGCAGGGATGCAGGAATGGTGGGATGGAGGGATGAAGGGATGGATGGAGGGATGGGTGGAGGGATGGAGGGATGGGTAGAGGGATGGAGAGATGCAGGGACAGAGGGAAGGATGCAGAGATGGAGAGATGGAAGGATAGAGGGACGGAGGGATGGGTGGAGGGACAGACAGAAGGATGCAGGGATGGATGGAGGGATGGAAGGATGGAAGGAGGGTTGGAGGGATGGAGGGAGGGATGGAAGGGATGGGGGGATGCAGGGATGCAGGAATGGTGGGATGGAGGGATGAAGGGATGGATGGAGGGATGGGTGGAGGGATGGAGGGATGGGTAGAGGGATGGAGAGATGCAGGGACAGAGGGAAGGATGCAGAGATGGAGAGATGGAAGGATAGAGGGACGGAGGGATGGGTGGAGGGACAGACAGAAGGATGCAGGGATGGATGGAGGAATGGAGGGATGGATGGAGGGATGGATGGAGGGATGGATGGATGAAGGGGTGAATGGAGGGATGCAGAGATGGAGAGATGGAAGGATAGAGGGATGCGGGGACAGATGGAGAGATGGAGGGACAGATGGAGGGATGGGTGAAGGGATGGACAGAAGGATGCAGGGATGGAAGGAGGGATGGATGGAGGGATGGATGGATGGATGGATGGAGGGATGGATGGAGGGATGGAAGGATAGAGGGATAAATGGATGGAGGGATGCAGGGATGGATGAAGGGGTGAATGGAGGGATGCAGAGATGGAGGGATGGAGGGATGGGTGAAGGGATGGACAGAAAGATGCAGGGATGGAAGGAGAGATGGATGAAGGGATGGAGGGTTGGAAGGATAAAGGGATGGATGAAGGGGTGAATGGAGGGATGCAGAGATGGAGGGATGCAGATATGGAGGGATGCAGAGATGGAGGGACGCAGGGATGGGTGGAAGGACAGAGAGATGGCCAAGTGGTGAGCGGATGGAGAGACGGGTGGCAGTGTGACCGGGCGGACGCAGGGCTGCACGGACAGACGGGAGGACAGACGGGAGGACGGGGTGAGGCCCAGCCCGTGCCGAGCTCCTGGTGGTGCCGGGCCCGGGGCTGAGGTTACAGCCCCGATAAGGATCGGTGTTTACAGTGTATATCCCATTACCAACTCTCCTGTTTACAGCAAACAAGGCCGGGAGGGGCCCGTATTTACCCCCCCGCTGGGAAAACACGGCAGCCGGGAGCCGGTCCTCTCCTCCGGAGGACGATACAGTGCGGATCCGGTTACCCCCACCACGCTCCTGGTGGCCACCATGGCCTGCCATCCCCTCCCAGCTCCACCAGTCCTCCCCAGTGCCCCCCAGTGCGGATCCGGTTACCCCCACCACGGTCCTGGTGGCCACCATGGCCTGCCATCCCCTCCCAGCTCCACCAGTCCTCCCCAGTGCCCCCCAGTGCGGATCCGGTTACCCCCACCACGGTCCTGGTGGCCACCATGGCCTGCCATCCCCTCCCAGCTCCACCAGTCCTCCCCAGTGCCCCCCAGTGCGGATCCGGTTACCCCCACCACGCTCCTGGTGGCCACCATGGCCTGCCATCCCCTCCCAGCTCCACCAGTCCTCCCCAATGCCCCCCAGTGAGGATCCAGTTACCCCCACCACGTTCCTGGTGGCCACCATGGCCTTCCATCCCCTCCCAGCTCCACCAGCCCTCCCCAGTGCCCCCCCTCCTACCCCCAAACTGGGGCAGGACCCACCTTTCTGGCAGTAGCTGGAGGTCCAGCAGCGATAATCCAACTGCCCGTTGACGGTGGTCTGGGCGCAGGGTTTCTCCACGTCCAAGATGCCTGGGCAGACGTCGGCGCACTCTTCGGCCAACTTGTTGCCCACGATGTAGGTGTTGTCCACGGCGTCGGGCAGGAGCAGCCCCCAGTCGATGGTGGAGAGGTGACAAAGCTCCTGGTTGCGTTCGATGCGGACCGAGCCCCTCAGGACGTGGGTCAGGCTGTGCAGCCCCACGTCCCGCAGGTGGGGCATCTCGAAGATGACCAAGGCGTAGCTGAAGAAGAGGTTGGTGCCGCGGATGACGGAGAGGTTGGGGAAGAGGTCCCGCAGGCTCTCCAGCCCGTAGACGCGGAAGAGGAGCAGGTACTCGGTGATCATCAGCAGGCGGGGGAAGCTCAGCCCCCGAAAGTCCTCGGCGCCGGTGGTGAACATCAACAGGATCTGCAGGTTGCCCTCGATGATGGAGCAGTTCTCCAGCTTCTGGAGCTGGGAGACGTCGTTGCGGATGTCCATGCTGCCGCAGACTGGGGGGGGACAAGATGGGGGCACCCCATGGAGAGCGGGGACGGGGTAACCACCCTCATCCCTCCATCCCCAAATCACCACCACCACCACCCAGGGGTGCCCCCCCGTGTCGTGTCCATCACTGTGGTGCCCCCGGGGGGGGTTAATAACGTGTCCCTGGCTGTCAGCCCTGGGTTTGGGGAGACACGAGAGGTTTTGACAGGCAGCCGACGCGCCGCCGTTCTCCGGGGCACGACGTGTCCATCAGCACGGGGCGAGAAGTGATGCTAACGAGGTCTGGCTGCCCCGGGGGGGGCCATCTCACCCCATGGTCCAGCTGAGGGTCCCCCCCCCTTCCCTGAGCTGTGGGGGAGCTCACGGCATCTTCTCCCCCCCCCAGCGCCGGGTGGGTCTGGCAGCTCCCACAAGGTCATTCCCGTTAATTCCCCATCGGGGTGGCTAACGATGGGGCACGCGGGGGGGCTACCACGTGGCAAGGACCCCCCCCCAGCGTTGGGTTTGCCCATCCCGGGGGGGTTTTTCCACCCAC